TGCCTGTGAATTGATCCCAGTGTTAATATTTTGGTATCCCGGTTAATATATACATTTACACTAGTGTTCTGCGGAGAGATAAGTATAAAGTAATTTTTTGTATGAAGCCGATTGATCTCTATTATCTTATCGTGTGTGTTTCTGGACCTTCCTGAATTTCCAAGAGACCAATATAACCGATGTGCTTTAGTCAAGGTTGGAATAGCGGACCATTCCTTATAAGGGAGCACTTTATGTAGGAGAAATGTCTAGGGAAGTCAATCATTTATTTCTTCCTATTATTTGTTGTATTGACTATCTGTAACTTTCATTATAAAGCACTAAAATGTGTAAATTTTATCTACCCTCATCTGCGTTAGAAGAAAATCCATTCAAACTAAATCAAATTGTCATTATATTCGTCAATTTAAACTCTTATCTTTGCTAAATTTCAGATAATTGTGCTTCCCTATAGCTATTATCAGTCCACTTATGAAGCTGGAAGGAAGATTCATTCAAACTCATTTACCACTATGCCGCCATATTTCTTTGGATTCTAGTATTTATAATGCAGCTCTTGATCTGAATTTACTGAAAGTATTCTTAGCTGAAAGCGTACTTTGCTGGATAAATAGTATTTATATGTGATGTATTCACTCTATCTGATTTAAAGTGATGAAGGACTAATAGTTGAATTTTCTCACAATGATGAATAGAGCTGATGTTCCCATTGAATTTCATATAGCCTTGCATTCCCAAAAGATGTTATCATCCAGGGTGAACTGCAGTTTTTGCCCCACCTAGGTCTTATCAACACCCCAAGCTGGAGTAGAACCATGATAGTGTAGCAAAAAAGAGACTCATTAATCAAATAGCTATCATTAACCATAGGAAAAGGGAAAGGAAATAAGAAAAGTGGATGAAGAAAATTCATAAATTAAGCGAGCACGTTCTCAGTGAGTTTAGTCTACTCGAGGAAATAACTATAACTTTGGGGGTATGATGACCACAGAAATAGGCAAATGGATTTTTACAATCGTCACAGGAATCCGGCATTATGGCTACTACGTCGGAGCCAAACTGTAATTAGAAATCCATTTTAGAGGCAGCAGAAGACAGGAGTTAAACCTTCACAGTTTACTTACGGTACGCGGTGGGATGTGGAAACTTGCCTGGTATCGGCGTGCTCGGAAATCAGAGCCTAGAAGCACTGTTAGGTAAAGCCGCATTATAGATGCTTAGTAAGTTATTAGGAAGTTAGGAATATCCACTTTCCAAAATATTTCTTCGTCCTTATTTTTCTTTTATAATCTCTATCCTGCTTTTTGCTTTTCACTACTCCTATGTTTTTTTATTACGGCTCTCGGGTTTCAGTTGCCGAAAAACATCCGAATCAATTTATCCATTTCTTCGTCCTATAATCCCACGTGGGCCGCTAACAAGTAGCAGCTTACTCGTAACACCGCGGCTATTACTTTTTTATTCTTAGGCTTTTACATCATGGATAAGTTCCGATTTTCATTCTAAACATAGTGTATATGCGCACTATATTTTTAAGCAAATCTCAAGAGGCTGGGTTTTTAAAATTAGCTTTCTTTGCCTTTAAATATCTTAAATATCATTGTATCTGCTTCGTTTCTCCTGTTCTCACTCACTTCTTAAACTACAGATTGCATCCACCTATTCAGAAAATCTGATGATTTCCTCTTTGGCTGAAGAATACTACTTCATGGCTGGCTACATTGGCTGGGCCGATATCACAGACCCAGCTTTCTCTACGGACACTTTGGAAAATCTTCTTGGGGACTCCATGCTCGTTGGCCTGCGCTACGATGTAACTCAATTTGATGCTAATCTCCTTCTTGAACGAATAGTAAGAAATAACTATATTATTTTAGCCTATGCCTTTTATTAAATATTATTTTACTTTTCTGGAAAAAGTGTTTTCGAAGAATCCCTTAATAAATTTATATTGGAGTACCATTCATTTCGTTTAAAGAGGTGAGTGGAAGGGATTCGTAAGTTGGTTCCACCGGAAGCTGTTGGGGGTTTGCCTTGGAGCTGTGGCTGTAGATTTGTGCGAATAGGTCCTCAGCGCACCTTATTGCGACTTCGATGAATACTTGCTGAGCTTTCGTCCGTCATATCACGGACATCGTCAGAGCAGGACACCATGCTTAACGATAATTTACCAAAAACATGAAGGCAAGAAAGGTGGCCGGCTTCAAACCTACTTCCTTCTTATATTCCAACTTGGTCCACCTATGCAGCTCAAGTCTGGGTTGGGTGTTCTATGCTTTGCCTCTATATTTGCTTATAAGTTAAGATAAGTGGCTGTGGATGACATGTAAATTGGCTACAGATGAAGCTTGAAATAGGGACAATTAAAACCGAACAGCTAAATCCTCCACTAAAACACTTATGATTTCGATCCTGCAATGTTACATGTGATTGCGTCCTATTGCATACATGTGTGAGTGCATTGCTTTTAAAATGAGTGTGATGTGAGAGTCGAAACCAAATTCCAGCTTAATCAATCC